CTAGCCTGGTAAAATGACTAGTCGTCAGACCCAGACGTAACACTACTCACAAGGTGCTCGAAGACTCTTCGACAGAAGCCTTATGAATAGTGTGTTATGTGTATCATGACATTTCGCATGTCGTATAAGCTGATTCAGTTGGAGAAGATCACCATGAACGAGAGATTCATCTGTATTCAGTCAAAACCAAGTTAGTCTGCAAATGAGAGTATTCAGCGGATTGTTCAACCTGTTCCCACACCGCATATGAACCGAAACCGCTGCGATTATAACGCTTCAAAATCAGCATAAAGTCGTCCACGGTTTTACACACCAAGTGACTGCTTATGGCCTGAATGTCAGCCTCAAATGGTGCATCTTATCCCATTCCGAATAGTGACGACAATCACTACCTGTTCTTCTCACTACGCACTATCGGACAGCCGATGCCCACGCACGCTGTCGCGCCTCCTGTTCACAGCTGCAACGTCCTTTCAGCCGGTAGCTACCACCCGAATTAAGTACGAAGGCTGGGACACTGCCAGTTTGCCCGATCCTAGACAATAGAAGTTGAGATGCTGAACCACGGACCTTCCAGTCGGTGGGTTCGTACCTGGGCTATCTCGGGTTCATGTGCTTCGCCAGGTCTGCTTTCCTTCATGCTTGCTACTCGAGTATCCTAGAGTATATGGTCAAAGCTAGATTGCCACAATAGCAAGAAAAATTGAACCCATAATTAGTGTTCTTCCTCGGTCCTAACCGGAGCAATTTGAAGGGATCGCTCATTGTTTTGTGCCTCCATAAGAGCTGCTGCTAACCGAGAGAAACGGCGAGTTGACTGTTTCCCACATTGTCGACTGGTGGTTTGAACGAAGGTTATTCTTGTTATGACTTGCTAAACGGTAGTGCAACTCTGTGTCCGTCCCTTGGCTTCCTGCTCCGCGCACTATGGTATATCAAAAGGCACGGTAGCTCTACACAGCCCCTTATGGAGACAAAGGAAAATTATTACAACTGTATTCATAGGATAGTCACGGTGTTCGACAAGGTCGTGCCAGAATCTCCGTTAGGGGGCGAGAAGCACCCAGTTAAGGATGCTCGACCCGGATTGGCTGGTATTCTGACGAATCAGAGCAGGCCTTCGTTTGGCCCGTGTCCTGCATGTGTCACATCGGTCCAGATGATGTGGTGTTCGGTTACTAGGGTCGGTTGGCCTCCGTGCACTTCTCAATTCCTGACTCAAAACGATCGATCAAAAGGTTGTTTGATATTCTTCACTAAAAACACGGAAGTCACAAATTCAGCCTTACCTCAATTGAAGTTGATTGTTCTAAACAAAATTTAAATAAAACGTGAGAGAATTAGTATGCGAAGCTTAGCTGTGCCACTTGGGTTCGCTTTCCTCGACCAACTTGTCGGTCAAGTTAGGATATTCCTCGTGAAGAACTCCACAAATTTAATAGGTATACTTCCATAGGTAGCAAAGCGTGGCTGGTTTCGGATGGCGTGAGCGTGTTTGTGACGAGGTGATTAGAAAACGGGTATTTGGTTGTTCTGCAGGCATCCAGCATCATGACTGCGATGGCTCAGTCATGTGCTACGCATGCCGAAACACCATCTACCGAAACGAGTGTTGGTCTCCGTGCCTCCTTCAGGATGGCGCGAACCGCGAGGTGGACAGCACATGACTTGGCAAAAGGCGTGAAAGAGATCACGAAGAGTTTGGGTGTAGTTGTTGCTGTACGCCTTTCCGGATGAGGTCCCCGTGACCCCGTCTGTGCTTGGTTGTAGACGTTGCAAGAAATGGCG